TTAGCTCTACTCCTGTATAATGCGGACTTGCAACTTTCAAATGTTGGTATTTTTTTTATCATGTCCTCAACATCATCATCATAGTCTCTGTCACGGAGATTGCCAAGTTCCTCTTCAAATATTGCCGGGATAGCATTGACTTCATCTCGACAACGCTTTTTGACATTTACAATGAATGAGTCAGCTGCTAGTGAAATAGTATCAGGAGGATGGTTGTGATGTTGGTGCCCAAATACAACTGGGATGTTATCCAGGGTTATAAATGTTGCTGGACACTGCCGTAAAACACATCTCCAATAAACACGGTTATCCCGTCTTGTCCGTATAGAAAATTTGTAGCCAGCATGAAGTAGGTAATAGCCACCTCTACCATTCTCTAAAAAGTCAACCTGTACTTGTGCATTGGCCATGGTAAAATGACTGATATATTTTCAAATTCATGATAAACAGACTTAATAGTGTGAGCAGTATTACCTACCTAAAATCTACCTGTACCTGTATACATAGAAATATTATAATAGAGATTAGTATATCTGAAACAGACTATAACTGAGGTTCACTCAGGTTGTAAAGATTGAAATGTTGGCCAGGTGACACTGGGTATTTTTCAAATGTTGGCTAGGTGAGAAGCAACCCATTTTGATATCATATTCCTTATCAGCCCGAGAGTCCCGATATCAGCCCGAGGGGCCAAAGGCCCCGAGGGCTGATATCGGGACCGAGGGCTGATAAGGGATTTGATATCAAAATGGTCATATTATAAACTTTTTATCATATGTTCAAGTAACAAAAAATCAAGTCAACAGGAAAAACAATTAGATAATTTAATCAACAATGTCAACTGAAACAGATTATTACTACAAGATGATATTCAGTCAATTCTGAATAAATAATCGGGCCAAATAATTACCCAAATCCACTGGGGAGATTGCTTCCAGGTTTCGTAACTCTTCAACAGAGGCAAGAAAAGATCTGATCAGTCTGACGTCCGACTCCGTTTTTCTGTGAGTGTTTGTGTTTTTCATACTTTTGACGAAGTTCTCCGTGTCCTCGTCACAACCGAACCTTGCACTCTTCTCCGCATTTTCCTTATTAATGAGGTCATCCAATTCAAGTATTCTAGACGCTAGAGAATTAAGTATTTCCTCTCCCTGGTTTGTTAACATTTTGTTTGTTAACGTCTGCTCAACACACTGTCTAAGCAAAAAACCAACTGACAGCGCAAATCCGGATTTTACAGAAGTAGAGGTGTTCCGAACAGGGGGTGCTTCACGAGAATTGTTATCGCATGGGGGTGGGGTGTATTACGAGAAACTTATCACACGGGTGACCGGAAGTGGTATCAGGAGTGGTCAGAAGTTATCCCCCCATGCGATAACAATTCTCGTAATGCACCCCCTGTTCGGTACTTCTGTATTGGATATGGGAAGCGCTCGAAGCGTTCCGAGTAAAATCCGGATTTGCGCTGTCAGTTGGTTTTTTGCTTAGACAGTGTGTTAAGCAGACGTCAACAAACAAAATGTTAACAAACCAGGGAGAGGAAATACTTAATTCTCTAGCGTTTAGAATACTTGAATTGGATGACCTCATTGATAAGGAAAATGCACTGAATATCATCTTGTAATAATCTGTTTCAGTTGACATTGTTGATTAAATTATCTATTTGTTTTTCATGTTGACTTGATTTTTTGTTACTTGAACATATGATAAAAAGTTTATAGTATGACCATTTTGATATCATATCCCTTATCAGCCCTCGGTTGGCCCCGAGGGCTGATATCGGGACTCTCGGGCTGATAAGGGATATGATATCAAAATGGTCATATAATAACCTCTAAATAATTCTTAATATAGAATCAAACAGGCCAGAGTTCACCAAAGTGCGTGAGACAAAGAAATAATTTCGTTTTACAT